CAGGCTTCTTCAAGATTTTTTTTTTTTTTTTTTTTGTGAGATTTTGAACCACATGCTTTCTTGGTCTAAAAGTGGTCATTCTTCCTCCAGAAGACAGGATGATGCTTATCCAGCATAAGCCTTCTCTTTAATGTCGCCGTATTAGTGGTGATTTGCTATTGACCTTAGTTTCCTTTTGTTAGACAACTTGCAGCAAGAGTTTAAATTCTCTTTGGAAGAGCCTGTTTGTGAATATATGAAATAACCAAAATAATGTTGGTTTAAGGTGAATGCAGCCCGTGCTGTACAGCATTATTTACCCAGAGGTTGTACCGTTCATCGTTCAGCCATGAACTTGGATCTATTAGCTAAGCTGGCATCAGGTGCTATAGACGTTGGATTTCCCTGTTTCCCAGTATGCTAAGCTGACTTTTAATTCTGTATTCGGAATCTTGGCCGAGATGAGATTTTGTGTGTTTGTTTTGTTCTGTTTTTCAGAGGCTGCTTAATCTCAGTCTCTAGTTTTTAAGGAAGAGAGGTGGAATTAATGAATATATGAAAGCATTAGAGATCTGAACATAGGGAAGAAATAACATTGTGTTTGGGCAGAAAATGCTCTTTGTAAAGATCTTATAGATACTGATGGCTGCTTAAATATATGCCAGAACTGTTCGTATGAAAAAAGTACGAGTGAAACTGGGCTAGCCCAGATTAGTTAGCAGAAACCTAACCGGTTTTTTTTTGTTTGTTTTGTTTTATTCCCCCCGACCCGCTCCCCACCCCGTGATGGTGGGACAAATTCATTTAGCCGTTGATGATCTTGCATACTTTTCCACTCACACAAGTGCAGTCAGAAATGCTATGAGAAGATTACTGTTACGGTCAGAACAAGTAAGACAGAATTTGTGTGCAGGCAAGGTATTTTAAAGGAGTTAGGGGGAGAAAAAGCATTATTAAAGGATGTATATAATGGAAAGGATGTATATCCGTTGCATGCAAGGAAAACTTCTTGAGTTGCTTTATCTCACTGTAGCCTTACTTAGAGTCCTGTAATTACAGGCTGATAATTTCTTCCTGAAATACAAATTAAGTAGATCTGTATCTGATCACAGGCTTGATGCAGTTTTGAAAAATATTTTAATTTAGAACTCTCATGCTTTGCAAAAAACTCACCAGAAAACACAGCTTGTCACTGGAAATAACTTCAGTCTGTACACAAGGCCTTGTACTTGTCCATCGGTACTACAATCTCTTTTTTTACATAAAAAGTAAAAGAAGTCAGATTTGGTGTTTTCAAAACCAACGGGTGCTCAGAATATCTTGTAATGACTGCCCGTGGACTGGAGGGGAGGGAAGAGAGTTGAATGGAAAATGAATTAGATTCTTAGGCTGTGGAAGGGGGAACATTCCTGCACAGAGAAGCGACTCTGGAGATAAGTTTTAATTTCCTGAGTTCCAGTCTCTATATAGGAACATTGAAAGACTTCCTTCCTGATAACCAAGTCAAGCCAGGGGCTATATTAAACGATGTGTTTCTGTATATAATTGCGTGCTCGTATATGTATTTGCATACTCACAGTATAAATACAAATAGTGTATCTGTAATGATAGAAGTCAACCTTTAAACGTGTTGCATGTATTCAAGGTCTGGCATGTATACTACTCCTGAGGTGACGTAATATATCAATATCTATTTAGACTTTTATAAAGGATCTCTTTCATACTTTGTCTCTACGTGAAAAACAAAACCCAATTAAAAACAAAAATGAAAAAACCACCCTCCGCAACCACTTGTCTCGCATTTTTAAGAGGACCTGGGTTATGGAGCACCTTTAAGAACGATCAAGTCACTGAGGTAGATGTGTTACAGGTTTCTAATGCACATATCTCCTGTATATGCAATATTGTTATAACCATTTCTGTCTTACTAAGGTCTCATTGTTCCGTGATTGCTTAGACAAAACCATGAAGCTCGCTATGAGTGATATCTTAGTAAGCATTTCAGGAACAAATATTAGGAGACTTTTTCTTTGTTTGTTTACAGGAGGCACAAAGCATTTACAAAAAAGTACAGGTCACCCCAAATTCTGCATTTGCAAAACTTAGTTTCAGAGCCTCAGACTATGTTTTGTTTTAGCAATTAGTTTCTAGTAAAACTGTTTTAATTTGCTGTTTCCATCTTTGGTTCTTTCCAAATCCCACAGTTTTTCTTCATATTTTTGGGATTTTGGGATAAAACCATATGTCTAAATAAGTAATATTGTGCTAAGCAGAACCACAGTATAACTTGCTTTGTGAAGCACAGATTTACTTGAATTCCAGACCATTGTCTAGATATCCCAAACTAAAATACAATTACTTACATCCCTCATTGCAGTTTGTGTAACAGCATCAGAATTAAAGGTATTACTGAGCTGTTCTATGTTTATCAGTTAACCTACTGTCATGTCAGATACGTTGCTTAATTTCTATGAGCTTTTAGTGTTATAGGTTTTAGTTCCACTTGTCAATAGCTCTTTCTTACAATTAATTTTTTTCGTAACCATTCATAATTAAAAATTAGCCCCAGAGTATCTATTTTGTATTACAATGAAAGAATTTGTATTGGCTTATATGATTTTAGAAAGCACCAAATGTAGATCTATTGACGGTATACAAGATTGGAAAATGACTTTCAATTATTTCTAAATTGGACAAGCCTATTTATTGTATAAATGGAACTTTATAGATGGTGTAATTGTTTGACTTTTTCTTTAGAACAACTTTGGAAAAAGGGAAAAAAGCCATAAACTTAAAGAGATTCTGATGGCGCTAAAGTGTTGCCAAGCAAACCATAAAAGATAAATCAAACTATAATTCTATAGAAAAGCTATGAAAGACTCCTACATATGTGCTGTAGTTGTTTTTGGGTTCCTGAAGCTGCTTGTGTGTAAAGTCAGCTGTGGAAATGGCTATCTAGCTAAAAGCTATGATTCCTGCAGCTTGACTGTTGTGGGGAGATTTTTTTTCTGTGAAAACAGTTGTAAAGTGGAACATCTGAAAAATATGTTCCATGCAAAATGGATCTTCACACACATTTATTTTGACATTTAGGTTTGATTTGAGAGAGAGAGAAGATTCTGAAATAGCCATTCACAGATGGCTTGTGCGGGTTTTATTTTTTTTATATGCTTCTCTGTGTTTTTGGTTTGGGGTGGATTTTTTTGCATGTGTTTGCAGACTTGTCAATCCCCTTCTTCCCCCAGATCACATGTTTAATTTTTTATGACTTGAATTTTTGTCCTTTTTTCCAGAAGCTGATGTTTAAAAAATAAAAAGAAAAAAGGAAAAGGGGCAAAAGTCTCCCACCCCAACCGCAAAACAACAAACCACCCCAAACCAAACAAACAAATAAAACCCCTCAAATTTCCCCCCCCCCATCCAAACTCTACTCACCACCCTAAGGTATAGCTTCCTATGATAAAAAATTTCTTGGCAGTGAGTGAGAATTTATGCATTTTGTGGACTTTGATAATACAGTGGAAAATTCTTCAGGAAGCACCAAATTCTCCCATCTTGATGCCTTCAGCAACGAGTAGATGTGGGGAGTCCAGAGGGCCCTGTGCTCTCGACTGGGGGAGCGCGGCGGGCAAAACCTGGTGCATGTTCAGCTAGACGGGTGAAATGCAGACGTTGTGTATCTGGCCACCCTTCCACAGGGCTGGACTCGACCTCTGCAGCCTTTACTGATGGGAGTAAGCCTTTCCAGGTGGGAGTCAGGAGTGAATTGTTAGAGCCTGTCTGTTTTCTTTTGAAGGTATTGAGTGAAAGCTGTTGCCGTTAAATTGTGGTTGTGAAACGTTCCTGAGAAGCAGGTCCATCTGTGTGTGAGGAATAAAAACTCTGAGTGGCGCTGGTAATCTCTTCTTTGTGAAACGTCGGTGTGAAATATCCCTGTATTCCAACTGTAATTATGAAATGAATATTCAATGTATTCAGTTATTTTTCTTTAAGGAAACCAGATGTTGATCTTGCACTGAATGCCATCAGTGATACATCTCTTTGTTTTGTTTTTAATCCCAGAAGAAGTTAGCTGTATACAACAAGATGCAGGAGTCTCTGGAAGTGACCCTTCCCAGCAAGCAAGAGGAGGATGAGAAAGACCAGCCTGCCGAGATGGAGTACCTTAACTCTCGCTGCGTCCTTTTCACTTACTTCCAGGGAGACATTGGTTCAGTAGTGGATGAACACTTCTCAAGAGCTTTGAGCCAAGCCAGTAGCTTCAATCCAGAAACTGCCCTTACCAAGAGCAAGGCAGGGCTAAGTCCTCTGTGGAGAGGTAAGAGGAGCAGTAACTTGCTCTCTGTGGTGTGGCTTGCTCGGTCTGTGTCATGGTAATGCATATTGCATTGCAGCTGAAAATTTGCTTCTCTGTGGAGGTGGAAAAATTACCCTCAAATTTGAAAGAACCAAGATGCTTCTTGGGGTTGAGTGATCTGAAGTGTTAAAAGGGGGAAAGAGGCGCCAAAGGAATGGAAGAAGCAGGCACCTCCCTCTCTTGCCATAGCCCGCGGCTCCGCCGAGGCCTGGAAAGAACAGGCCAGAGCTTGTGTGGCTTCACAAATGTCTGCTGCAAGGTTGGAGGCTTATTTTTAAGCTCCAAGCGTGAAACTTGGTCTGTGAGGCAAGAGCAAAGCTGTTCGGGATGCTGGCCTTGGACGTGAGGAGACCCATGCAGCCTTCTTGGGTGACTTTGCCAGGCGATTATGATTTGTCTACGGCTGCTTTCCAGGTAGGGAGGAGCCAGCACAGGCTGGAACAGGTTTGGGTGCAAGCCCTGGCCCACGTGGCTGCAGCCGTATGGTGTGGTGCATTGCAGCCTGCCCACGGGCAGAGCTCACGGGGGAGATACATCCATCGCTCCTGCTTCTGAACAGGGAGTAGTCACGTGGTAGGTGCTGCGAGGCATTTGCATACTGCCATAATACTTATGTCTTGTAATGCATATGAGCATGATCAACGATAGCGGATCTTGCCAGATAAACTGGGTAGACCTTATAGATAAGAGTTCAAAATTGGTGGCTGGAGAAAGTGTGCTGGTAAGACGCTATTTCCATTTTGTTGAATGTGGCAGTCTGGGTAGTTTTTCGGATCCACAGCTGCATCATTTCTGATCATGTCCTTATGTGGACTGGCAAAGGGCCATGAACTAAGTGTTGTGAGCAATGGCCTTGCATCGGGTTGGGTGAGAGAGACACCCTGAGGATCCTTGTAGGAGTAGTGGTGTTCATAATCAGCGATGTTGAGGTGAGAGTGTACTGATGAAAGTCACAGATAATAAAGAGAGACGGGATTTTTGGAAACCGCTATGAAGAGAAAAATAGCACAGAAGGACTTGCTTTCCAGAAGGATGATGACAAATCCGAGGAAGTTTAAGCAAAGGTCAGCACAAGTGGCTAGGGAGCTAGAGGAATTTATGGCTTGAGCCGGGACCATTAATGTTAACGGGAAATTTTCCGTCGAGTCGACTAAGAGCAGGATTGAACCTGTGCTTACTAAAAAGGAGACTGGAGCATTTATAAATGGCCCAGACAGGCTATAAATGTTTTAGAGATGGGATCAAGGCAGTCCCCAGAGACCCCATGCCTACAGCAAGCCCTCTTTACTGAGCTTGGAGACATACCATGGGTGATGACACAAGTCTTCTCTTTGGCCTCAGACATACCCTGCTGTTTTTCCCTGGCTCCCCCCATGGTTGCACAGCCCTCCCCAGAGGGCTCTGCAGGGGACAGGGTGGCCTGGCGTAAGGGTTCTTCAGCCGTGCTGCCTCCTGACCCAGCGTGCCCCTTGCTGTCGGCAGGGAACGGAGGTCTGCGTGTCCTGAAAGTCTTCTGGGAGTAAAGTAAGGGGATATGCCCTCTGCCGTCACTGCACCTGCTGAAGTGGTATGAAAAGCCCCAGGGAGGCTGCTGGGCAGGGCTGCTTGGTTCTGCGCTGTGGACGCTGAGAAAGCTGGGGGTATTTGCTTCTCCAGAGAAGAGAAGGTGATAAGAGTTTCATCAGGCCAAAATGAGTTTCTGAAACGTGCCTGCTTGAAAAAAGTGGGGAAGGAGCGATGCTAACACCTTGGTCTTCTGGTTCATGTACAGTTGTCAAAGATGCTCAGTTACAGCAAATGGATGTGAATTTGTATGCCATTACCTACAGAAGTTAAAATATCATTAGCTTGAAGATCTTTTATAAATAACCTTCATGGGTAGTCAGAATTTTTGTCAATAAATTACTCAAAGATAAATTTTAAAAAAAAAAGCTTTTGTGTTTGCAATAGCTGTTTTGGAAGGCACAGATCTAAATGGAAAGTGTGTGGGCATAAACTGGCTACTCAGCTCACTGCGTTATTTCTCCTGTACCTGAAAGGAGGGATTAGTAATGTTTTCTGCTTTTTTTTTTTCATCTTGTTGTGGGATTTTTTTAGTGTCCTGATGGAAGAGCAAACTGTCATTTCATCATTAAGGTGATACGGTGGGGTTTTTTTGTTTCTAGGAGGGATTTTGCTTAAGTATAGAAAATAGAACCTGTTGTCCTGAAAAGAGCAAGTTTTCATCTTTTGTATGTTGAAAATACTGATCAGTTTAGGCTAAAATTAACTTCAAAACTGACTTTTTATAAAACATAGTTCCCTACAACAGGCTCCGGTAACGTGGACTTTGAGGTGAGGAATTGAAGGTGTAGCTACGTGATTCTTTTGCAGGGGCTAATGGAACTAATGATACCTTGAAACTAATGTTACCTTAACGGTATTTTTATCAACATGTTTTTCCTAGCTGAAAGTGTTGGGTTTTTGTCTGCCTTGTTTTTTTGTTTTGTTTTGTTTTTTTCCCCTCTTGCCTTAACTGAGAAGTAATGTTGTACTACAGAAAATTCCATACATTGTCTTCTTTACAGCATGTGCACTTTGGCATATTTTCAGTGCGTGTTGGCCAGCCACCGTGAACATTTGCATTAGTCACCGCTTCGTGGTATCTGAGATGTTGCCATCTCCCTGCCTTCTTGGTTTTTTGTTTTGTTTTGTTTTTTTCCTCTCTTGCCTTAACTGAGAAGTAATGTTGTACTACAGAAAATTCCATACATTGTCTTCTTTACAGCATGTGCACTTTGGCATATTTTCAGTGCGTGTTGGCCAGCCACCGTGAACATTTGCATTAGTCACCGCTTCGTGGTATCTGAGATGTTGCCATCTCCCTGCCTCCCTGTACTTAGAATAGGAAATTGTGGTAACTGCAGTATCTTTCCTGGCAGACGATTTTTGTTAAATGCCTCCTTCCCTGCTCCTGAAAGCCCGTGGAAGCTACTCAGATTATTTTTTTTTTTTCTTTCTCAAGGACAGTGCTGAAATGGTTGTTTCTCCATTGCCATGTCCCATAGAGGCCAGGTATCTGACATGATGGTAACTGTAAAGATAATTGGTTGTGCTCGCTGTTTTAAAGGTGGGAAGGAAAGGAGACCCTTCAAACACCATGAAAATGTGTGGTGGCTGGGGTTTGCGGTTCAACACAGAGATGGTTCTTGTTGATGGGGTTGCTGCACGCTTGATATTTAGTAGCATCCTCTGTGAGCACTCAGGATGAAGTTTTCTTGCATGTTCATATAACCTGGATGGACCCTGTATCTGCAGTGACATGACTTGACCTTGACCAGTGAGGTTGGTCCCTGCAGTTACACTCAGTGGTGTCTCAGTGGGGGACGACCCATGACAGTTTCTGACAGTGGTAATGGCTTTGTGAAATGTGCACAGATTTGAAAAATGGAGATGACCAAACATGTTCTCTGTGGCCTAGACCTTCTGCATGATTGGTAAAGCCAAGCTGGTATGCAATCTGGGATGAATTCATATTGGCAAATCCAGTGGTTTAAAGTGCTCTCTCCTGGTATTAAAGTTGTCCTGCAGATACTTTGTGGTTTTCTGTGCTTTTTTGAAGTGAGATGGTTTGGATTTAGGGCTTTTCCATGCAGATAACAGCCAGATAGTTTCCAAAAACTCTCGATTACAGAGATTAATTTTCCAGAATACTGGCAGTGCATTGTCAAGCTGTGCTTCTCTGTTAAGCAGTGAGGAGAACAACAGACTGGACATGAAGAAGCTTGTTTTTGCTTTTTTTTGTCAGCCCTGCTGCCAGCACTGCAAGCCATGTGCACTCTCCATCTCGGCCTAATCCCTTGTAACAAGAAACAATTTACAAACAAGGAACAATACCAATTTCAGAGGGGTGCTGAGACTTCTGTTATATGTTTGAAGCTCTCTCCAGTCTTCTAGCATGAATTACTATAGAAATACGTTGCTAAAAAAGGAAGCAACCTTTTGAAGAAAGCCATGTTGGAGTACAGTCTGCTAGATAAGCTTGCAGCCTCTGAGGCGGTTTGGCACAGAGAGAAGTTCTCTATGTTTGTCTATAGTACATTTGCAAAGTTTATTTTCAATAGCAGAAGTTAATCAGGCTCAATAAACTGCCTAAATCAAAGCCAATTGATGTGTGGAAAAAATTTCTATGGTTTTAATGGATTTTAAAACAGATACGTAAGTGTCCTAGTGATGCAGTTAGAAAACACTTTTACAGTTTTTTGTTTCCAAAGTATTTTTGTGTAAACAGCGATCAGGGGCAGGAGCATTTGAAGAATCTGTTCGTTGTCAATGGTGTCTTCACCCAAGTCTCGTTCCAGTTGCTTGTTAAACAAAGCAAAACAAAAGGTCATTTAAAAAAAAAAAAAAATTGTAAATGTTATATGGGGAACAGAGGATTCCTCGCCTCATCAAATATTAAACTTCCCTGGCTTTATTTCTCCGTAAGCTATTTTTATGACTGCTCTTTCATCAGGGGTAAAGTCCTGTATTTTTATGTTTCCATCTTTGACCAAAAAACCCCCTATTTGAGCTGAGACATATTGCATGAAGCAGTACTTTCAAACATGACCTGGCAAGAGGATTGTGAGAATGGAGATGCCAATACTTTCCTACACATCAAAAACACTAACCGCTTCTCCAAAAGAGGAATTTTTAGAATGTGATTTCATAATGTATTGAAATCCATTTAAATATAAGTTGAGCCCTAGCTGTAAGAAGCAGCGAGTCTTTTATTTCTGACAAAAACTTCTTTCAGTTACATAGGTGATTCTGCTTGTCTGATCCTATTGGGTACAGGGCAGCGTGATATATACTGTAAGGGACTAATGTCAGATGTGTTAGCTACGATCTTTATCCCGTCAAAGCATGCAATTAGTTTGAGAAGATCTGGTATTCTTCCTCTAGCCAAATGTCTCGTATTCTGCAGTGTGACTTGGTTCTCTGTCCTCAGAAGAATTTACAGCCACAACAGCTGCTTTTCTCTTCCTTCTTTTCCCTTTCTTCCTTCTTTTCCCTTTCTTCCTTCTTTTCCCTTTCTTCCTTCTTTTCCCTTTCTTCCTTCTTTTCCCTTTCTTCCTTCTTTTCCCTTTCTTCCTTCTTTTCCCTTTCTTCCTTCTTTTCCCTTTCTTCCTTCTTTTCCCTTTCTTCCTTCTTTTCCCTTTCTTCCTTCTTTTCCCTTTCTTCCTTCTTTTCCCTTTCTTCCTTCTTTTCCCTTTCTTCCTTCTTTTCCCTTTCTTCCTTCTTTTCCCTTTCTTCCTTCTTTTCCCTTTCTTCCTTCTTTTCCCTTTCTTCCTTCTTTTCCCTTTCTTCCTTCTTTTCCCTTTCTTCCTTCTTTTCCCTTTCTTCCTTCTTTTCCCTTTCTTCCTTCTTTTCCCTTTCTTCCTTCTTTTCCCTTTCTTCCTTCTTTTCCCTTTCTTCCTTCTTTTCCCTTTCTTCCTTCTTTTCCCTTTCTTCCTTCTTTTCCCTTTCTTCCTTCTTTTCCCTTTCTTCTTCTTCTTTCTCTTTTGTTTTCTTTTGTTGAGGGTGGCTAAACACTGGAACAGGTTGCCCAGAGAGAGGTTGTGGAGTTTGGATCTCAGTCAAAATCTGACTGGACACGGTCCTGGACAACCTGCTCCAGGTGACCCCACTTGAGCAGGGGGGCTTGGACTAGACGATCTCAAGAGATCCCCTCCTACCTCAACTGTCCTGTGATTCTGTGATTGCTGAGGAAGCTTGAGTTCAGCGTTACGAATTTCAGAGAGTAGAAAATCATTGTGGGGCTTTTGTCATTACATTTGTTTTTCAGCTTCAGTCATACTTCATTTCTCTCCTCTCTACCAGAAAGCTCAACAATTTCAAGCCAAAGGAGCAGTTTCCCAACATCATTTTGGACCAGCTCTTATCAGCCTCCCCCTCCACCGTGCTTAAGTGGAGTACACCCTGATTTCCCCGTTACTGCACCAGGCACCTTCCCAACAGCAGATCCCAGCAGCTGGCCAGGACACGGCCTTCATCAGACTGCCCCACCTCCTCCCCCTGCTGCATCTGAATCCTGGCATTATCCTTTAGCATCTCAGGTGAGCCCTTCGTATGCACACATGCATGACGTGTACATGCATCGCCATCACCCTCATCCACACATGCACCATCACCATCCCAGCTCGCACCGTGACCCCCGGTATGGGTCCCTGCTGATGCCTTCAGTCCGCGCAGCCAGGATTCCTGCTCCCCAGTGTGACGTGACAAAGACAGATCCCGCTGCTGTCACCAGCGCTACCTCAGCATGGGCTGGAGCCTTTCACGGAACAGTGGACATTGTACCAAGTTTTGGGTTTGACACAGGTAAGATGGTTCGATTGTGTCTGTGACTTGTTTTAGCAGGAAGAATTTGAGCAAAGAAGTGGAATCCCTGCAGCCGAAGCAGGGCTTGTTCTCAGAGCCTTCTCCAAATATATTTCCAGGAGGGAATCCCTCCTGAAATTGCTGTCAGGGCAGACGAGCTGTTAAACATCCAGCTCTTACTGCGTTTTGCTGAGGGACCTTTGTCTGCCTGGGTCCTATTCAAGCCAAATGAGTTGTGACATGATAGGTGTTTTTTGGTTTAAATCTTGTGGGAAATGGTTAATTAAACTTCCGTGTGGAAGCTTCCAGCTTGTTCAGCTAGTTCGTATGTGCATTCACCAAGATATAGCTCCAATGAGGACTGAACTAATAACTTGTCGGTACATGAGGATTGCATCTTGCTCATCTAAATTGGAACAGATCAGCATTTCCTTCCTGTGTAGTATCCAGGTGTCACATAGAGAGTAGAGATGCTGGCCGAGTTGTGTTCGCCATCAAACTAAGCTTCTTTCTGTAGGGTCTCGGCAGAGGTCTGTGAATTAGATTCATTTTACTGCAGGGTCTGTAGCCATAGGACAGCCTCCATAAACTACATCTGCATCTGCGAGCTTTGACTGGCAGGCTCTCATATCGGTGTTAGGAGCAGTCTAGCAGCCCTCACTGTTCATGGTTGCGATCAAGTGATGGGTGACTAACACTTTCCAGCACATCCATCCTGGAGCTCATATGCACTATTGAGGTCTCCTTTTTCTGCTTGGTATTTATCCGACCAGCAGCAATCCTTGCAGATTAGTACTTCTTAAACATGTTATGTTATTTATTAAGGAAATACTAGATTTACATCTCTCTTCCTTTTTCCTTAAGGTATCTGTTTGTCTGTCTTCTTGATAGCTCTAGCTAACTGATTCAATGTGTGAGAAGCACTTCCTTGCTTTGATCAGTGGGCAGGGGAACAAAGAATTGGTGGAGAAAAAAATGCTGATTCTTAAATATGAAATAATATGAACCCAAAACCCGATTATAACTGAGCTAACCTAACACAAATCTCTCTGTCATCCCTTAATAGCAACTGGGAACCAATAATCTCTTCTAAATACCATGCCACTTGCTGCCTCAAGAAATTAAGAAAAAGCGTAATAGGATTCTTAACACTGCACAATTTTATATCTATTAATAACATTTCCAGTCATGCCAATGATACAAGAGGGATTACATTTTGTGCTTTTGGGTATAAAATGATAATCTGACAAGGCTGGGATCTCAAGTTTTGCCTTTCTGACAAATTCCATAATGGGAGTGAGCCGCCTCCTCTGAAGCGTGAGCAAATTGTCACTGCCACCGGTAGAGGGGATGAGCCCCCTGCACTGACAGTAGCCCCAGCAGTCCAGCTCCAGAGCTCTGGTATTTGACTTACCTTTTGGGGACGGAGCCGAGAACTGCGTAAGGGATTGTTAGTCAGGAGAAACCACTACCTGGCTTAGGTATGAGTCCAGCCTAGCCTGTGTTTTGTTTCAGTGCTGGGCAAGTTGGTTTGCTTACTGCTACTTTGTTGGTAGTAGTACATATAACAAAGCAGGTGCTTTTTCTCTTTTCTGTAGGAACAGAGTACCTCAAAAAGGACTACGGGCCCTAGCACTGCCTTACAGGACTAATATAGCATTTGCTTGCTGCTGCCTGCTCCTTGTGAAAATCCCGTTGGAGGGGTACAGTTGGATGCTAATTTTATCAGGATCCTGATTTGGCAGTGCTTAACAGGGGCTTGCATGTCTTGTAGTTGTCTACTCAGGGTGGAAGGCAGTGGAGGAGGCCTGAACTGTTAATTTCTGGCCCATGCCTGATGTGTGGGTTTTAGTCCATGAGCTCCTGTGGGGGAAAAGAAAGAGGGGAAATGTGTGACTAGTTTGCAGGAGCAGAGGATCTCAGCAGAGCAATGTTTCACTTGTTTGTGACTATTCAAAATGCCCATGCACTGAAACATAACAGCAAGACCTTATCAGGCAGCCCCAGTTTGGCACGTAAGGCTTTGGAAACAAGGGAGCAAGCAATGAAACACAGCAGGTAGTGGTAGCCTGTGACATTACAATTATTTGCTCGCTTACCCTGCACGCTCATCTCTTCTGTGTTCTCCAAGCAGAGGCTTGCTGGGAAGGGCAGGAAGGCTCTGAGCTCCCTTTTTGGCCTTGCCTGCAGCTTGCAGATTGAAGACAAATGCTTTGGTGACAGGCATTCGAGGCGTGCTCATGGTGAAAAGAGGGAGCTCAGTTGCCCCAGTGTTTTGCACGCATCTCAAATGGTGTCATCCCAGGGGAAGGTGTGTTGTGCTGCCCGGGAGAGGAGTGGGCTGCTGAAGCACCACACTGAGTCTCATCCAGCACTCACCAGCACAGGTGAAGCTTTTCTTGCTCCACGTCCACTCCAGGGGAGGATTATACTGAATAAGTCTCCACATCACGCAGAATTTCATTACATTGAACTCTAATGTGAGACAGCAATCTCAACAGAGAGGCTAAAAACTGAAGGGCCTGGAAGAGTGTACTGGCTTTCTGCAGTGTAGAAGTGGTTTCTCCAGAGTAGGGTAAGGCCATAGCGGCAAGAAAACTTCAGTTCTGGAAGCCTTTGCTCATACGTCCCTGGAGAATAACAGACATCAACCTGTGAAGCTGTCAATATATCAGATTCCAGATGATTTATATAAAAAAAGCTCATTTGGTATATACCTAGACATTGCTTTTCAGAGCCCTTCAGATACGAAAATGATTCCGCCCTGCCCCTTACTGTGGGTCACATTTCTTGTGCTACTGTCACATGCGATTATAGAAACATTTGCAAAATTCCTCACGCTGAATTATATGGAATGGTAGCGTTGGGGTCAGGGCAGGCTGGCTGTAATCTTACCCTCTTCCAGCTACATTGTTGCATCTCTGCCCTACTAAGCCAAATATTCGATCTCATGAATGGATGATGCTGAATCACTTCAAAGGTTAAGAGGGGGTTCCCCTTGCATGCACGGTACAGTTTGGGAATTTATGTTTCAGAACAGATTGTGTGGGACATCAGTGTATCACTGTTCGTAGAGCTAACAAAGTATTGATCTGTCTGGCACATCTGTTTGAACTTACATGGTCCTGTTTTAGAGGATGAAGAGGGATTTAGCTACCCGATTCCCATTAAATGTGGCTTAATCCTCACATTGTGTGCTGCAAATTAACCCTTTTGGAAGCTTGTTTATTGGTACAAGTGGGATTAAAGAAAATGCTAGTCTACATCAAAAATCTATTAAAACTTGTTATGTTTGTGGCTGCCGGCATGCAGTGTCTTTCCAAAACTGAACTGCCCAAGCTATAATGCTCAATATAAAAGTATGTTTTATATCAAGCATTGATATAAACACATTGATATAAGCACAACATGTTTGTGCTTTAGACCACAATTCCCTGTCCTGCTGATGTCCAGCAAAGCGAGGTCAGCCTCTAGCAGCACTGACTGCAGTTCACGGCATATGTACAGAGAGCGTTGCTGCAGCCGTAATCCCACAGTGTCGGGGCTAAATCCTCATGTTCACGTTAAGGGTGCACAAGCTGAGTTGAGCACTTAAGACCAGGGAGGCGGGGAGGGGAATTGCTGTCTTGCGGTGGAGCTGATGGTTACGGCCATCGGTGTTCTCCTCAGGAGCAGGGCGGGAGGCTGCCCTGCACACTGGGCACTTCAGGTGGTCAGTCGGATCCAGCTGCGCTGGCAGCTGCCAGGTCTGCGGGCAGCCCCGTGGGGAGGAGAGCAGAGCAACTTGCCCTGCTACTGCAGAGCCTAGGACAGGAGGATATCCTGTCCTGCTGTTGGACAGATGTGCTGGAGGAGGCTTCCTGTAGCCCCAGCACACTAAAAGCAGAGCAGGATTTTGGCAGAGCTGAGGGCTGTAACTCCATCTTAAAATTGAGGTGCACATCTTTATCATGCAAAGTTATGCACAATGAGGTGCATAACTTTAAACTGAGGTGAATTAATCAACATCCTCTAGTCCTGGCTAACATTTGGAAATGCCTGTACGTCAGTGTGTCACACTGAATACGGAATTTGATTGGTCAGTCTGCTGCCTTCTGTAAAGTTGTCTCTGTTCCCCCCCCACGAGTTTGTCATTAAGTTTGTTTAAATGTTGCCACAGAACCTGCATTCTGCTTGTGTGGCAATTAGCGATAACGTTGGTATCCCAGAGACAGGGAGTTGTGCTGGTGTGGCAATACTGACTCATGCAACGCAACCGAGGATATCTTTGCTAAGAGGAAAACGTTCCTGCAGCAGGCTGCAAGCGAAAGCTTTCGGTTAGTAGCAGGGTTGCACTCGGATGACATATTAGGACTGCAGATAGCCTTGCCATGAAGAAGATGGGAATATAATGAGGACAAGGCACGGAAAGTGTTCCACATTCAGTTCTGTAACTAAGGCAACTTTAGTTTTTTGGATTGCTTTCTGTGGCTGTTTAGACTTAATAGCTATACCTTAAACCTCCTTCTTACAGTTATTTCTGTTTGTCTCAAAGACACCTAACTAGGAAGGTGTCTGTTCAGCTGGTTATTCCCCTTCTACCAGTTGCTGCCATCAGGTGGACAACCTTTTAAACAGGTGTGTGTGTCATTTTTTTTAAGCTGCTAGGAGCCATATAACCTGTTTCTCTTCTCATCAGCTTCCATTGCCTCTGGTGGCCTTTAGTGCTCCACTGGTGAACTTAAATGACTCCCTTACACTCTGATATGTTTCTGCTGTCTGACTCCCTCTTTTTTTGTTGTTGTTGTCTTTGTTTAAAAAAAATGTAAACAGCAGGGGAAAAATAACACAAAATTTTCATCACTAACTTTGAGGGAGCTTTGAAGGAAACTAACAGCAGTTTATGATGACTCTGCCTGTGAATGAAGCTGCCAGGAAAGCAAGTAACTCCTAAGCAACAAGGAGACATCCTCACTGAGTAAAGAGCCTCTGAACATGTTTTTATAGGAGTCGAGGGTTATCCCAGTTTTTCCAATCTGAAGAAATAGGTGCAAGTGCGTGTGAAATGGAGCAGAAAGCCACTGAGCAGGGCTTGGCATGCTATACCTGTGTGCTCTGCTTTCCTTGACTGTTCACTGCTGGACACAAGTGTTTGGACGCTGCTTGGGAATCCTCACATGGATAGAGCCATATGCTGTCATCTTTTATGTGACTGTTAATTGCTTTGTAGCTCAACTCTGAAATGATGTTGATCATCATTAAAGATTTAACTGTTTGTGCTCCTAAAACAAGGTGGTGGTGGTCAGATCTGAACCCATCATGCCTATTAGACTCTCTGAAAACATACGGGTTTTCCTTTGTGTTTCATTATGTGATCAGATATGAAAGTGAGAGATCCGTGCTTGGCACATGGATCTGTCAGTTTTCACAGGTTAGTGATCAAATGAACATTAAGCTTCAATGGCTGCAACATCATTGAAGTCTGGAGTCTCACCTACAGGTAGTTGATGCATTGGTCTTGGTACATTATGTAGCAGGGCAGTAGATAGTATGACACAGAGCGGAGCATTGCTGTCTATATAGCAATGATCATTTATAGTGAGAAGTGCACCTTCATTTCACAAAATGTGATTTGCTTGACTCAAAAGGTCAAGGGGCAGGTTTTAAATCAGCAAGTCCTAAGTGCCTTACTACCTCTTAAAATATGTGGCTGCACCTCTGTCCTTTTTACTTTCCCTATAAATGAACAAGAGTGTTTCTTCTTTGGGAAGTTTCATCCTCACCTCCCCCTCTATTGTCTGGATTTTAGGTATACGCCCTGTTGGGTGTAAATCTAGCGAAGACTGAAATCCCTCTGGAGCAGAGAAATCCCAGACTATAACACAGGTTCCAAGTCTATAATGCTAAAGCCACAACATAGCACCACATTTATTAGATAGTCCTCACTTTTTATAAAGGAAAATGTTAGAGGAACTCATAACAAATGCAAGCTGAAAATCATTAATTTTTCCCATATGGAAGCACTAGCCATTCTTGGCTAAAAATCTGACACTCTGTAGGTGAAATTATTTGGGTTTTTTACTTGCTGCAGGAACACTTTCCCTCTCTCTTCTGTAAGGTGAAATACCATAGAAACTGCGAGATCCTGAAGTGTCACAGGCCTTTCTAAAAGAGGTAGGGTCTGTGGCTGGCCCCTATCAGGAAAAATTATTCTGTTGCATACTGGATTGTCTGTGCAGACCTTGCTGGAGGGTTTTATCATGCCATGACATGCTCCAAACAGGGCCAAAACAAGGAAGCGCACACAGGATTTTATCAGCATTCCTGAACTGCTTGAGCCACTTAGGTGTGGTTTAAGCTTATCCCACATAAACTATAAAATTGGGAGCAATAGCAACGTTAGTAACAAGTCCGCTAGGCTGGTGGATTGTCTGTGCAGACCTTGCTGGAGGGTTTTATCATGCCATGACATGCTCCAAACAGGGCCAAAACAAGGAAGCGCACACAGGATTTTATCAGCATTCCTGAACTGCTTGAGCCACTTAGGTGTGGTTTAAGCTTATCCCACATAAACTATAAAATTGGGAGCAATAGCAACGTTAGTAACAAGTCCGCTAGGCTGGTAAGTTGTGGGTTTTTTTTTTTTCTTTTTTTTTAAATCAAAAATGTTTATCCTTACTTCAGTTGCTTGGGGAGGGGGAGGAAAAAGCTGTATCAAATTTAAATTATTTTTTTTTCTTTTCTGAAATGTAGGTCTACAGCATCAGGACAAGAGCAAGGAAACTTCTTGGTTCTGAAGTTCAGCTAAATTAAGACCAGTTTAAGCTGGAGTAAGCGCAGCTGGGCGGGCGATATAACAGTTGTCGACTCCTTCTGCATGGGGCAAAGGACACACATGAAGATGAAGAGCCAACCGTTCTGGTTTTGCTATTGAGCCTTTTGTTTGTAAGGCCGTTTATGGGTCCCACAGTGTTGGAAAAAAACAAAAACCTAACTTCTCTTTCTTTCCTCATCTGAGCCTGCTGCAGCTGGGCAACCTAACTCCTTTCTGCTCCTTTAACAGTGTTTTGTTTTGTTCAGCTTGATATTTTTATGAACAGTCTCAATTGTCAGGAAAAAGACTCTTCCTTGACTACAGTGCGCCTCCTTTCAGGAATACAGTATTTTGTAGCTCTGTTTGCATCTATTTTTGTAGAAATACAGAAAGTTTGGGTAAGGATTGATGGGCTATTTTAGGATGACATATTTTTTTAAAAAAAATTGTAAAATTGTTAAGTTCTGTTTAAAGAACTTGCTCTCAGAGAAGCACTGGCAAAAAAATGTATAAAATGCTATTTTTAGATGTCTGTGATGTGTTTGTGCATTTTGGGTTTTTTGTTTTGTTACCTCAAATGTCTATCCTTCCTTTCTTTTTAAAGAGCTAAATCTTCCTTGTTTCCACATTACTAGATTTTGATGTTTTTGTCCTTTTGTTCTAGCTTAAGCAAGTATAATTCGCACCTAAAGTTTCAGCCAAATATTTTTCCTGCTGGTGTTAGATTGTAGTAAGGGTGTTTTTATTTTCTTGCTTCTAAAGGTGGCTTTGTGCTGTGTTGATTGTCAGAAACTTGCAAACACCTTTCACATGGAGCAAAGCCTGGGGTTACAGGAACTGCATTTCCAACCCATCCATTCTTTCAAAATGGACCAAATACTCTTACGGATTTAAATCGGACATGAGTTTGGGCGTCGTCCATGATCCATTGAAGCTGTTGAACACAGTCCCCTATGGGTTATGTTTCAGGCCCTCGCAGTGCTCATAAATATCAGTATATTCTTATTTTAACTCACGAGGCAGGACTTTCAGCTAAGCCATTTCAGGGGTGGTAACTTGTAACATCAATGTTCAGGAAAGAAATGTCAGAAATGTGTGAATTGTGGAAACAAAATGTTTTCAACTAGCCTGATCTGTCTGCTGAGCACCTCAAGGAAAGCGCTGAAATTTTAAACTCCTGTTGACTTCAAAATCTGTTTGTCTAACCTAATATTTGCTGTGGGCTTTACGAGACCCCAGCTGCAGCTCTTGATTTTCGTAAGAAGTTGCATGTGCTCAGCGTGCGCAAATTCAGACTTGGCTGCTGTCTGGGTAAGAATCTGAACTTGGAAATGACGTGGCCACGTCTAGCCACAGCGCTTTGCAAGGTGTTTGGGAAACCCCGTTTCTGGGCTGGGCCTTGGGCCTGACTTGCATAATAAAGACTTTAGTTGAAGCCAAAGTGAGCACGATGCAATCCTGAATAAGGGCTGCAAGATTACCCTCGACAGCCCCCGTCCTGCGAAGGGCTGGAGCTGGGTCAGCCCCCATGCCCAACCCTAGTGACTCCAGCGTGAGTGTCAGCATGTGCTTAGGTGGGGCTGAGCGCAGGATCGGGGCACGGGTTGCCAGGTCCTAGCTGTTGCTTGGAGATGTTGCCTTTCTGCTCTGTGCACCCAGGGTCCCTCTGTAGTATTTCCCAAGGCTCTTATTACCTAGTATATTTCTGTTACCACTGTTTTCAGACATCCCTGTCTGAAAGACAAACCAGCTAAATGGAAACCAAGGCTTAAACACATGGCTGAGGTAATAAACAGTTTAGTTTTAAGGCAATGAGCATTGTAGATGTAGGTTTGTCAGGTGGAGACCACATGGATCTGCGTTTGAAAGGGGAGGGGGAGTGCTGGGGATGTGCATGCCACTCCGAGGTTCAGGCCTCCCTCCCTGCGCTGCCGCTTCTCTCCGGGCTTTATGAACTTGCTCCTACGAAGTGTTGAGCGTTCTCACTTGCCACGTGAGAGGGCTTGACATGCTGGCACTGGAGGCATTAGGATTATGTCACAGTTTGGCAAGACCCTTAAGTGTGTACCTTGCTGATTCGAAGCGTGAGACAGCGTAAAAGTGCTGAATGGACTATGCTTAAATATTACTTTAAAATAGTAGGGTTGTAGTTTCTGTGTTGGGATGCTGAATTAAATGTGGTGGGGTTTTTTTTCCTAATCTTTATAGTCCATCAGCATTTCTTTCTCTTAATAAATTTCACTCTCATGACAGTTCTATATATTATTGCTGCTCTGGTGGAGCTAGCTCCTCAATTTGTCAATGAATTTGTAATGCAATGGGAAAACTGTATGGGAGGGAACATAGTAATAGCTGCCACGGTTCACTTTCTTATCAGGACAGTATAGTTCAGGACATATCTCAAGAATAAGAGTTCTGACTTAGGAATTCTGATAGTATTAGAAATACTGGGAGGAAAAAAAAAAATCCAAGCTTTTTTAAATTTTTAATTTTTTTTTTTTTTCCTGGACTTGGCAAAGCTGGAAGGCAAAGAGGCAATGTATCGTCTTTGAACTACAGGGCTGGAGAGTTTGGGTGGCGGGGGAAGCAAAAGAAAAGGCAACATTTCTTCTTAAGGTGTAGTGTGTTTGACTTCCTGAAATAGTTTAAAGTCTAGCAAGAGCAGTCAGTTCATTGCCTTCCTTTTTGCAAGTTCAGATGATGAGGGACCTCCTCCTGTTCCCTATAGATGTCAAAGCAGGATGGGACAGGAAAAAACAGGCCCACGGTTTGCACTGGAATCCCTTTCTGGATTGTTTTATTGAGTTGATGGGTAGTGGGGATGAATATGTGGTGAAGCTATCGCCTCTTCCACCTCAAGGACTACTGTTGTGTGCCCGGTTTCCACTGCTGAACCTGTGAGTGTGCTGAAGGAACTTCTGTTGCTCTGCAGGCTCTGGGAGACAAGTGCCAATAAAAATCTGCTTTCGTCTATAGCCGTTCATGCACCCGTCAATCAACTTCGAAAGTCAAATAAAGTCTTTTTTTTTTTCCTCAGTCACTAACCATCCCCTGTACTAACAAGCGAGTTGAAAGTAAAAGCACAAGTGCATAGCAGTAGCCCTGCTTCTATGTTCTACAATTGGAAGGATGGGAAAGAAAAAACCCTTCCCTGTGACAAACTTTTAAGTAAATTCAGCAGATTTGCCTCTCTCTCTCTCTCTCATACACGCACACATACACACGCACAAATGTGCTTATGAGAAGCAGATGCTGTGATGGTTTTGTTCTTGAAAGAGGAGGGGAGCGCTTGCTCGTAACGTTGCAGTTACAGAGAATTGATGGCAGTGAGAAAGAAACAGAAATGTTAAGACTGCTCATGTTTCCACAGATAGGAAAAAAAGGCCCTTAAAATCAGGTCACAGACAAGTTATGTGTCTTAAAGCATTACTAAAGGAGTTGTTTCATTCTTTTTGTGTGTGGTGAGTTCTGATGCTGACCCAAGAAAGTGGATGATTCATTTTGCGAGGACTTATAAAACATGATGTACTCTGTCACTATTTCTGGGAGAACATAGGGAAATTATTGTTTTATTTCAAGAAAATCTACGTACTAAACTCCTTAAAATTGTCCAGGATTTGATTTTATTCCTATGAATGTTGAGAAATCTGCTGTCAATTTTTGTGTCTTCATTTGAAGACTGGGAGGGTTCAAGGTTTTCACCAGTTTTTGAAAAGCAGATACCAGCTTGTTTCAACTGGGCATTTCCGTCCCAACAAGATGATGGAATAGTGCAGCAACTGACTGCCCGGCAGATTTGATTTCTGGAGAGCTGAATAAGGTACACTTGGCAATAGTAAAATGCACTTTGATCTGTGTTCCTCTCCTCCCCAGACACACAAATTCAGTTATCAGTTTATCTCATACCTCTTTCATAGTGTGAAGATCTTCAGTGAATGGCAGTTTTCTCTGTCGTCTACTTCTGCCTCAAAACATGCTTTCGAGGATGAATCTCATCACAGCTTTCAGGGAGAGCAGAGGTTGCGGGAGGGGGGTGTCACGTTTCCCCCCACCTGCACCTAGGATCAACTTGCCCGTACCCAGCCTTTCTGCTTCCAGGCTATTGTGTATGTCTTGCTCTCCTTCCACAATTCTTTATGTGTATGTATATATTTATATACATATATATACACACACATGTAGCTATACCTGGTTCCCTCCATTCCACCCTCATGCTTCAAATGCACGTCCTTTGGAAATGAAGTGAATGACATCACTAAATCTCATCTGAGACTGAGAAAATGTAGGCATTTTATTGCATTCTCTGTAACCTCAGGAGTGAATGGAATTTTTTCATACTTGTAAAAAAACAAACAACAACAACAAAAACCCAACAAAAAAAACCCCTTTCAAAACCCCTGATTTGTTCTATCTGTAAAGATGACCATGGAGTCAGCAGAGTTATGTAGAGAGGTGCAATATATTGCCTGTCAGCAGACAAACATATCTTTTTGAATATGATTCTTTTAATTAATTTCAGGTACAAGCTTTTTCTCCATATCAATGGACCAGCAACATGTATTTCTTATAAACGATTTAGAAATATATATATTTTTAAATTTGACTTCTTGGCTTTAATATGTCAGCCTTTGAGCTTTTAAAGGGTATTTGGATGATAAATACTGTTTGTGTGTGGATTTTTTTAAAAAAGTTGATGCATGCTGTTTGGAACTGAAATCTCATGTAAAGCAGGAAGGTATTTAAAAATAAATACTGCTTTTACATGTTAGCCCTATGGGCACAATCTGACAGTTGTAATGCAGGAAGATAGCCCTTTAAAGACTAAGGGACTCTTGCCTGAGCAAGGTCAGAATCCTGGTCCCTATGACAGGAGAGGCAGGAGCAGTCATCTTGCAAAGGTTGAGCTGGTAGAGCTGTGAGCAGAGATGATCCTTTCCAGCTTTGCATGTAGATGGTTGGGCAGCCGCTGCTCAACTTATTAAAATTAGGCTGTGTTGGCAGGTTTATACTGGCCCCGTCTTATGGAGGGAACTGGTTGCCAAGGGGAATTAGAGGTGTCCCTGGAAACCTGTGTTTTAGCTGCCCTTGGTCTGCACAGTGCCCATGACCCTCTCCCTGTTCTTGCTCTGTGGTCTCCATGACACCACAGTGGGACCTGTGAAAGCTGGGCTGGAGTTCCCTGTGAAATGCAGGATGTTTTTAGCTCCCAATAAAGATGGTTTAGGGATGGGGGTAATTAAAGCATCACAGTTATCTCATGCACCTGCTCAAAGGCTCAAGCCTTCAAGATGGATCAGCTGTGAATCATTGATGATGGCCGTTTGCGTACAGGAGCCCAAATACTGCTTCCTCCCCTCGGTGTCTTTGGAAATCTTCGATGGCATTGAGATCATTGGGACCAGCCTCGAATGCCTAAATTGCAGTTCAGTGTTGGCTGGCACAGTGTGGTGGCCTGGGGTCTGGTCCAACATTGGTGGACATCAGTTGGAATCAGCATTGATTCTGGTGAGCTTGGGCTCAGGTAACTAGTACCTATAGACAACTGATATTTATAGCAGTTGAGGTTTACAGTAATCTAGTAAAGTATCTGCAGAACTATGCTGCACTTTCCCTGCTAGCTGTTTGTAGCTGTTGTTTAAAACCATCAGTCAAATCAGGGTCCCTCTCCTCCCCCGACCTGTTTTCCAACCCTGCTTCCTTCAAAACTCCATTGAACTTTTTTGCCCCTCTCGTCAAAACTGATGGGGGGCTTTGTATAAAGAAAAGTGTTACTGTTTTAATTACTGAATAAATAATTTAATGTGAATTTTATTGTTATATTTTTTATGTAGCATTTTTGGTTTGGTCTGTATTTCTCAACAATTAGCTAATGCTTTCTTTTCATTCTTATGCAACTGAAGAACTCATAAATCTCTTTGTAAATTACAGCATCCTGAGTTTCTATTTTTTTCATAAGATTAATTTTTAGAGCCAAGGGTTTGTCTTCTGTTTGAAAACGTTGTAAAACAAGTGTTCTAAACTGGTTGTCTACTAAAATTGGACGGAGTGAAAGCCTAGCATCAAAGGGATTTCAAACAGGGCTCTCATGAAGGCGCTAACTTTCCATTTCAGATACTGTCAATTGCTTCTGCGACAATGTCGTCTTTTTTTTTTTTTTTCAATCTTTTTAAGTTGCATTAACACTAGACACTATTTTTACAATCAGACCTAGTAGAGTCACTACCTGACACTTGTTACTGTAAGACCCTTTTTAATTTTATCATTTTCTGGCAGTTTTGACAGTCACCAAGTAGAGACTTTCCATGCAAGTTATTTATCTCAAATTGACTTTTTTTGGCAAAATTCAGTGATTCCCACTAAGAAGGTGACTTTGCCCTTGCTAAAATTATTTTACAGCTGTTTAATTAAGAAATGTTTGCATGTCTATGTTATGGCTCGAGGGCTGAAGGTTTGGTGTTTTGGTCACAGATACATCATTTACTATTCCAACAGAAGGGAAAAAAAAACCCTCCAAACTTTGGCCAAGCACTGAGCTTTTGAAAAATTGCCACTTGCACGCGATCAGCAGGGAGCTGTTAAAAGTTTAGTTGCAAAATCCTGTGAAGATCCTGACCATATGGGATGTACTCTGTTTCAGAGCATCAGGAGATGAGCAGGATTTTCCCTGTACATCCTGCTCCAGGCCCTGTTTCCAGAACCAGAGAGCAAGCAGGATGCTTTTTCTCTGCGCAAAATCAGTGTTCTTCTTTCTTAGGCTGTAAGGAAGAGATGGAGAGAGCTGCCAGCCAGAAACTCAAGGAGAGGAAGGCCAGGAAAGGAGGAGACTGGGTTCAAAAGCTTCCTGTAGGAAAGAATGGGGTTGGGAGCTACCAGGAGAGAAGCAGTCTCCATGGACAGTGGGGATGAAGATGGGATGCGGACCACTGAAAAATAAGCAAATAATGCGTAATGATTGCTTGGCTAATACATGAAAAACGTAGACGGGGATGTGACAGCCATCAAAAAATACCAAAATAATGTGAGGACTTAGAAATTTGGTATAAACTAAGTGTCAAGGAAAACTTAGGATAAACATTGCAGGAAATGTCTGTCTTTGAAGTGAGCTGTGTACACTGTGGTTTAGTCTGTGAGAAAAGACGTGGGAGCCCTGTTGCTTTAAGACAATCACAATTATCCTCAGTGAAGCAATTGTAATCTAGGAAGCAAGAGTGCGTTAAGCTAGAGGATGAACTAGCCGAAGTGCTTTTTCTTCTCCCTGTAATGTCTACTGCTCTCACCAGAGTAGGGCTCCAGCTGCGTTGCCCCACACCTGGGTTTCCAGGTGCTCATGGGGGTTATTTCTACGTGCTCTCCTTGCATCAAGAAATGAGAGCAGGGGAAGTGATGGTCAAGAGTAAACATTATTTTGTGACTGATTTTATTTGTGACGATCCACGTCCTCCGTTAATGTAAATCAATGTCACTATGTTAGTGACCTTAACGCCCATCGAGAATCTCATAGGTTACATCTGGATAAATCTTTTTTCGGGTGTTATCAGCTGGAAACTGGGTCCCAGCCTGGTGCCTGGGAGAGGTGCTTCCCTTGGAGCCAGGATCCAGCTGGGTGACCTCAGTGGTGCTCAGCCTGCCTGGCGCAGGGGAGATGCTGCGGAAAATGTGAGGAGCAGGGCTGGCATCCTCCCTGCTGGCGAGGGAGGCGAGCATGGCTGAGGGCCAGCTGCTGGGGCTGGGGCTGGCTGGCCCCGGTGGGACAGGGGTGCCATCAGCCCTTCATGGAGACCCCAGGCGCGGTGTGGCCCGTCATCCCGGCAGGACCTTGGACTCCGAGGGCTTATGCTGCCTGCATGATGTGGGAGGCCGGGTGGGGACCAAGACATCTGGTGAGAATTCCTCATGGCTGAGCTGTGCGTTGGGCTGGGATGCCGATTAATTTAGCTGATTTCTTTTTTGGGGTTGTTGGGAGGAGGAGGGGGGATGGATGCAGCAGCCTTCCAGTAATTGTCTCTCCTTCAGAATATCACTTTTGCTTTCTTTGAAGACAAGTGAGAAATGATATTTAAAAGAAACAAAACAACAAACCAACACCAGGAACTACACCAATGTCTTTGCCTCGACAATAAATGTACATCTGCAATGGTTTATAACTATGGGAAAATGAGCGGATAATAAAGTTTTGATGTTGGCCGTTGCATGTACAGAGGTATCACAGGCTTTGGAAATGATTTGTTATGTGAATGCCCATAGTAGCACCAAGGTTCAAGGGGAGGTGGTTTGTTTTTCAGGCCCATTTAGTTATGAATAACACCAGCTCTAATTTCCTCCTCCCACCAGCAAGCAGAGTCCTACACTGGAAGCCAAATATAGCAACAAAGATTTCTATATCTGGCCAAAACAAAAAATCTGTTCCCTTTTAAGAATAACACTCTATTCTTTTCTGATGGAGATGGATAAAGAGAAAATTCAACTTTAAGGAAGCCAGTTTCTCAGAGGAAAACTCCCTAGTCTCTCTTGAATGCCCAGTGTAAAAGGTATAAACTTAATTTTTGGCATCTGTGTGGAAGCCAATGGGGAGACTTCTGTAGAGCCCCATCAGTAAAGCACTTTTGGGGTAGCAGACTGGATAAATCTTCCCCACTCGCTGGTGTGCTTTTTCTGCCCTGCTTTGTCTCTTCTGAGCAACAGAGCCAATGCTAAATGGGAACTCCATGAGTTGCACAACTACCCCTGCTTTTTCTTCACCCTTTTCTTTCTGGTTTGCTTTTGTGGAGAACTTAGTTCCTTGGCTCTGAGGGACAGACCCCTGCTCCACCTGGCAAGTAAGCTCAACGAGGCAGCGTGGAGCAGCAGCATCGCCCCACACTCCCTTCCTCCTTGGCTTTCTCATCAGGGGAGTATGCGGGAAGCCAGCCCTATGCTCCCATGGCCAGACTTTCAAGTTGTGCATTGCCCGCAGAGGGTGACCAGGGACAGTGGTGCTGCCCAATTCCCTGCCTGGCTGGTTGGGCTGGAAGAGAAGGGACGTCTTACAAATAAAAACCAGAAATGTTCATGGCCAAATGCTTCCTCAGATAATCGTTTGACCTTTTCTGAATTGGAGGTAATGCCACTTGAAGATGAGCATGTTCATGGGTGTCACTCTACCTGTTTTTAAGCTGGAATATGCTCTTAGGAGGAGGCAACACCCTCCACCTCTTTGTGATCTTGAGCAGTTTCTTTGGCTTCTCTACACCATCTGAGGAAAGCTATTCAGCCTTTCCTTCGAAGGATTTATTCCCATTCCAACCCACCCCCACCACCCACCCGTAAGCAACTGGTATCTGTGACGTGAGCAAAAAAACCCCTTTCTCTAATGTACCGGCTGTCCTTGTTTCAGAAATGTTGCCTCATTCATTTTCAGACTGTTTGGCTAAAGGCCTTTGCTGTAAGGTGAATACTTCAGGATTATAGTTAGTTCTTCCTCCTTTGGAAACCTGGGATTTTTTTTTATTGACTTCAGTAAAAGCCGCCTTGGACCCCTGATGCATTTTAAAACCAATGTAGGGAAGTGTCATCCAGTGAATATATTTGCACTGGATCTGTTCTGCCAGACATGTTACTGATGGAGTTTTAAGTAAACACAGGGATGTTTGGAAATATTTTGTGTATGTAAATATGTAAAATATGCAAAACAAAGCTAACAGCTGTGGGGTGTACTCGTTGCTCACGTGAGGAGGCTTTGTGTAATGTTTTCTTTCCATCATCCCCTCTTTTTTAAGCATCTGTGTCCATTCCAAGATAATCACTTCTCTGTGATTCCCACTGGACAAAGAGGGAGGAGGCTGGATGGGCCTTCGTGATGCCCTAAAGTCTGCCTGAACTTCTGTGCAGAACCTCCTACCGTATAGTGAAACCTGCTTTCCACAGAGCACAGGAGCACATGCCGTGAGGGCAGCACACAGCAATCACTTTTCATTAGAGGTGGGATGGTGCCTGGGTCCGATTGAACTTGACCTTTCAAGAACAGTAATGCAAGACAACACGTAGCACACAGCGTTCGCGGCCATCCTCGAGTGCTTCATAACTAGCCTGACAAAAGCATTAGTCACTGGTGTATGAGTCTTAATTTCCTGAATTTAATCTGTTGCTTAGGAAAGGGTGACAGTTTTGCAGCCTCAAGTCCTTTATTTAGCCAGGGAGAGCCGAAGCCTACATACGCATGTGATCCTACTGAAGACTTTGGGAGAACTGCAGTAAAAAGAAAAGAAAGTCACCCAGAACAAGCTCAGTCCATAGCACTACTAGGCTCTTCACATTATTTTTTTTTAAATTAAACAGCGTGCTGCTTTTCTGACATCCTTTCAGAGAGGGTAGTTCATCCTCTGTGCACAACAAGTCTCTGCACCGCTTCTGAATTCTACAGGATATTTTGTGTGACTTAGCCACCTGTTGTTTTTAATTTTTTCCACCCTTATCCTTGCTCTTGTTTTCCAGTTCCACTGCTTTAAGGGCAGTCTTCCAAACTCCTGGCTGTCTGGCAATGCGGATGTCCAGGGACATGGCACAGCGACTCTGTGTCACACAGTCAGCATCTCTGTGCATGGTGAGTTTGACCTGTCCATACGCCATGACGCTTGGACTCGTGGATGTCAGAAGGTGCGATACAAATACAAGCTCCATTTGTTTGTTTGGCGGTTTCAGTCACAGCAAATGGAAGTGCTTGGCAGGAACAACAGGCCTGGGTAAAGGGCAAAGGGGAAGTGGAGCATCATTCAGCAGGATCCCAGGAGACATTCTGGCTCCCTAAGAAAAAGCCACGTTTACTCTGGCAAGGGAAATAGCTTAAGTGCATCCTACAGAGACCTGCTGCTGCTTATTCTCCTTGCTCCCAGTTAGCCTAGCTGGCCTTTTTGCCATGCTGTCAATGACATTTCTGTGTGAATAGGCTTGAGG